AACTAAATATTTAATTTGTAAGTTTATAAACTATGACATTTATAAATGTATGAATGATCTGGTGAAAAAATGACTTTGAAAAATAAATCTGTTCTTTTTTCTTATAAAAGGTTAAATAAAACAAAAATATTGGTGGTAATTTTTGACTGTGTAACTTTACAAATGGCAGCCCATATTTTTGGTCTATATTTGTTAAACACATATTTATCACTGTTCTTATAGACAGGAATTACCTTAGCTATTTTCAGATAATCTGGAAATATTCCAGTTGAAAGTGATAAATTACATACAGTATATACTGTATATGTAAACAGCTCATTAACACAACTCATTATATCTTATACAAACATCACCCAGACTTTTGATCTTTTATCTGCAAAATGACAACACAACCCATGACTGTGAGACTCACAGTTTTATCTGCTTTTGGTATTTTTGATGCAAGACTTGAGCCAATATTCACATAGTATTGATTTAATTTATTTTTACACTTTGATCATATATCCATGTCATCTTTTATAAAATACTGTGAAATACCCGAAGATACCTGAACATCATTCATTACTCCCCGTGTTGTTTTCATATTACCCTTACTTTTATTTAGTAAGTCACTATAATATTCCTTCTTATGTTTTTTTTTATAATTCATTCCAACTTGTTTTTATATTTTTTGTATCTCTCTCCTGCTTCTTTTGTTCTCAAATTCAAGAAACATGAAAACAAGTAATTCTTTATTTTACAGGTTTAACGCATTAGTCATCCATGGTTTGGCAACATTTCTCTTGGCACAGTTTCTTTGCACACGATGCTTTCATAATTTTCATAACTAATTTAAGCACTAATGGAGCCTCTTGTTGTCTGTTAAACTTTGAACTCTAGACATTTTGAACTGATGAAGCAGTAAGTAAATGACTTACACACACAGAGAAACAAATTTACCATGACAATCAGGTTTTCAGTGGTCGGTCCCAGAGCCTGTAATGATTCAGGGTCATCAGAGGGTCTCCTGTAGTGGAAGGAAGTCCCTGCGATGTCAAACTTCCGAGGCCAGTCGATGGTCCAAGCTCCATTAATATGATAATCATCCTCTTCAGATTTTAAAGCTGGGAAAACAAATTAGGAAGTTGAAATTCAAAATGTCAAACTGGAGAAGCAACTAGAGAATATTTCTGTGTGCTGTCATCATCCACTGAACAAGACACTGGAACAGCCAGCTCCTGCACAGTCTACACCAGGGGTTCTCAAGCCATTTGGGTCTGAGGACCCCTTACAAGGGCGAAAAAATTCCAGGGACCCCCTCATAAACCCCGTGCTGTTTTAAAAGATAATTTAATGTCATTTCAACCCCTAAATGCCATAGGAATATATATTTTTATTAAGTTCATTATGTTTGTTTTATTAGTTTATTTTCTGCATGCATTTTTAAAAATAAAAACCAAATTAACATTTTAGTAAAAATTTTTGAGGACCCCCAAGATACCTCTCGCGGACCCCTGAGGGTCCAGGGACCAGAATGCATCGCTTCAGTTTTACAATAAACAGTTTAAAATTACTAATATATCTGCACGTTTTCTTACCGAAGCCCATAAACACAAGAAAACTACCAAGAACTATTTTTTTATTTTAACACCATGACTCAAAAGTCTGTTTCGACTAATCACATCCCCAAACTGCGATGGCACGTGCCAAGCTGTGAAAGAAAATGATTATTCCGCTAGATGGCAGTAAAGTGCTGACTCGTCTCATTCCTGAATGTTTTTTGGTAAACGGAGACAAACTTGCACTTTATGTTTAGCTTCCGCTAAGTTTATTTGAGCATTTGCACTTTTAAAATTGTGGACCTAAATAAACCGACTAGCGATTTAGAAATTACTCAACTAAATTTTGAGTTAGCGCTGCCCACCATTATTATTATTAATAAATTTATTTGATGGAGGAAAGGCACAGATATTATAT